GTTCACGCTGCCTCGGACGCCTCCCGAGGCCCCTCCTGCTCCCATTCGTCCTCGTAATAGCTGCGGTCGAACTCGGAGCGCTGCGCTGTCCTTCCCGAAGGCCTCGTTGGCCCTCTCCTCCTCGACTGACGTGGCTTGGAGGGCGGCAGTCTCCTGTTGATGCGTGTCCTCCGTCGTGCAGCTCACCGCCAGCTCTGCCCCGCAACAACGAAGCTGGCCTGCAACATGTTGGTCGCGCCGCAACTCCGCACGACGCGGCGCCTCCAAGTCGACCATCACCTGGACTCCTCATGGACGGCGCCCGCAACGGCGCGCTCCGCTTGCCCCTGGCGCCTGTGCTCGTCAACCTCACGCTGACACCCCTCCGCCAGGCGCGCGGCGTCCTGAACCTCTGCGCGCAATCGACGCGCATCTTGCTGGCGACCGGCATCGCCACGGAGGACGTGACGTGCACCTCGGCCACGGTCTCCGCCTCCTCGCGCAGACTCCGCTCGGCGCTCCCCAGCTAAGCGTGCTCGCCCCGGAGACGAAGACGATCTTCTTCGTGCTGTTCGCCACGATACCAGATCTGGTCGAGCAGCACGGCTACCTCTGCCACCAGGTCACGACGCTCGCATTCGAGGATCCGTCGCGCCCGTCAATGCACTTGGCCTTCCGCGCTGTGCTGCTGAGCCTCACCCAACACCCGCTGACGCAGCATGCCGATCTCAACCCCTCCGAACGAACCTGGGACTCGCTCGTCTGGAACGCCCGGCCTAGCTCGCTCAACATAGCCCTCGCACGCCGGTGCTCGTTCCCGGCATGGACGACCTCTTGGGGAACGCATGCTCCTCGCTGTGGAGCTCTTGGACCGCCGCCTGGCCCTCAGCCCCGCATCATCTAACCTCCTGGCGTGCTCGCCAGGCGGGCCGGCCCCCACGCGCTCATCCATGATCGCGCGGGTGACCACACGCCACGCTGCCACCGGCGGCGGCGCCGCAGGCTCAGCGTTCGCGCCAATGTCCAAATATTCCAGGCATGGCCAATCCGAGATCGTGGGGTCTGGCCAGCCCGCGCTCCGCCTGGCTTGCCCCGCCGCTGCTGCTGCCCAGGCGCTGGCGTCAGCGAGCCATCCGCCAGGCGCCTGCACGGCCGCATTGCTCCTGGATTCGGACCAGCTCTCTTCCAGAGAACTCGGTCCCCAGCGTGTCACCCAAATTTGGTTTAGGGACGCTGCTGAATGACAGATGGAATTGTGATGGCGTGTGTTCCTTGCTCGCTTGAGCCCAGTGACACATTCCGCTGACAACCCCCGTGCTGCAATTCACTGACACACATGCACAGCTGAGCAGTGCCAGTGCTGACCCAGATTGTCTGTAAATATTCCGACCGGGCTCTTTCTTGAGCTGTAGGAAAGCCCTGGACCTCCAGACCCGGGGAAATTCAACTGTAGAATGCCCTCGACATCGATCCGCAGGCCCTGGGCCCCAGAAAGGACCACCATAAGAAAATCACAACAGGGCGAACTGTATCAACGCATGTGTTGAAGTCTACAGAGATGGGAAGCTGGACGCGCTGAGCACGAACATGCAGACTACGAATGCCCTACTGCTGCAGTCAAGCTTTTATTATACAACCCTTAGTACAGGGCCCTGAGGTAAGGGAAGTGAAAGAGAGGAGAGCCACACATGCTCTATAGGCTCCAATCCAAACCACCAGGATTTCCAGACTATCTGGCGGACCTCGTTTCTGGGGCCCTTGTAGCACATTGGGTGAGCTTGGGGATCCTGAAAACCGTGGAAAGCGTCACTATTATGACCCCCATTGCTCCTCTGAAGTTCTCTGAAGCACACGCCCTGAGGACACACGTCCTCAGGATCAACGAGTCGGGGTAGGGACAAGGAAAGGCGACACCAACACCAACAGGGCGAGGAGATGCGAGGAGGCAAGGGGGGTCTCCCTGGTGGTGTGGTCCCCCCCTCTCGCTCGAGACATCCCCAGCCTCCAGCTCGGGGAGGCCTCGTGGACCTCCTCGCTGGAGGTGGCCCCCTGTTGGTGTTGGTGTCGCTTCTCTTCCCTCCGACGGGGGTCGCTAGAAGGTGCCCCTGGCCCAAAGTGCCCCCAGCTTCACGCTCCGTGTCGGAGCCCCTGTGGCCCCCCTGAGCTTCACGAGGGGTGCTCTGGAGGCCTTGGTGGCCTCCGTGGGCATCCCAGGGGCGCCTTGGACCGGGGGCACTTCTGGCAACACGCGATCGGAAGGCGGAGAGGACGAGGACCGCCACGCCGACCAGGGGCCCTCTGCCGGGCTCGCGGCGCGGCTCTCCTGCAAGTCGGCCACCCTGTCCCGCAGCTGCGCGTCCTCCGCCTCGGCGCGAGCAGGAGCACGGCGTAGAAGAGCAAGAAGCGAAGAGCAGCGAGGAGGAGGAGGAGGAGGAGGAGGAGGAGGAAGAGGAGGAGGAGGAGAAGGAGGAGGAGGAGGAGGAGGAGGAGGAGGAGGGAGGAGGCGGAGGAGGAAAAGGGAGGAAAAAGGAGGAGGAGGAGGAGGAGGAGAACAAGCAAGGACGAGAAGAAGAAGAAGAAGGAGGAAGAGGAGGAGCCACGAGGAAGAAAACGAGGAGGCGGAACGAGGAGAAGGAGGAGGAGGGGCGATGAGGAGGAGCGAGGGGGAGGAGAAGCGAGGATAATGAGGAGGAGGTTCAGGACAGCCACTGCGACAACTTCGACTAACGCAAAAGACCGATGGCTAACATCATCTCCTCCCTCCCATCGTGTTTTTGTCTTACCGCCAATATCACAAGGGCTACCCTGATGTCATCATCGTCTTTCCACTTACTCCCATTATCTCTATTCCCTCTATGGCATGGGTCGCCAAACCTGCCCACGCAGTTGCATACGGACACCTCCTCCCCTCCCCCAAGGGCTGTACCCCACTGTCTGCTGAGGGCAGCAGATGCCCGGTACATCCATTGGATGCATCGGACATTTGCTATCTTCTCTTTAGGTAGCTCACTCCCCCTGCTCCCTCACCTCTTCCCCGTCGTTGTTGCCTGCTTTTTACGCCCTTCCTTCTTACACTCCATACTCCTACGCGTACCTCCCCTTTTACGTACCTCTCATTCCTACCGACGCAAAGGTAGCAGCTCAAGGAACGCATCACTGCGGGACACTTGCACTTACGTGCCAGTCCCACAGCTTTCCATTTTTAAGACAGCCACTTGAAGACAGCCTCAGCTGTGCTACAATCTCAGCTACAGTTCAGCCTGTCTATCCTGTCGCAGCCACAGACGGGCATCGCTTGCCTAGACAAGGGTGACAGCCCCAGAATTGCATCGGCAGCACACAGCCTTGCTTGTACAAGGGTCGCAGCCCCAGAATTGCACTCCATTTACTTTATTCTGGGACGGCTGCCCAGATATCTACCACCGCATCACTAAGTCTTGTGATGGATTTAAGCACACCCATAACATGGACTTGGGGAGGGTTGAGCTGGGCGGCTAGTTGACGTGGGTGGGTATGGGGATGGCACCAACTCTTTACTTGCGGTCCCCGTGCCCCTAGGGCAGGATGGGACCCACAGTCGCGTTTACAGGCCAGCCTATTCTAGGCCAGCCTTAACCATGCCCAGATTCTTTAACACCACATTGCGCACAGCTTCTGATGCCATGCCTCTTCGCTTCGTCATTTCTCTGAAGCAGCTCCTCTGCCACGTGTTGCCTGCAGAACTACACACCTGCAGGATACTTTAGGAGGAACACGATATGCTCAGTTTGCGCAAGGGTAGCAGCCCCAACGTTGCAATATGTTTACGCCAGCCCCACCCACGACTTTCTCCCCCGCATGATATGTCTGCGTTCCCGGCGCATGCTCGCTCAGCCTGGCCGTAAGGGTAGCAGCCCCAGTATTGCATCTTGGTTGTTACATTTCTCTGGAACAGGATCCCAAACATCTCCCACCCCATCACTGAGTCTTGTGATGGAAGCATGCTTCGCCTAGGAGGCCATGTGGGGAAGGGGAGGAGGACCTACAGCTGTTGTGGGTGGGTCTAGGGATGACGCTCACGCTTGGCTTACAGGCTCCCTGCCACTAGGGCAGGATGGGGCCCATCGTTGCGTTGGCAAGCCTGCCAATCTCCAAGCCAGCCTTCACCATGTCCAATTCCGCACGCTTTCCTGCAATACTACAGGCCTGCAGGATACATTGGGAGGAATGCCATGTGCGTCTTCCTGCCGAAGGGTAGCAGCCCTAAGCTTGCATTGCTTTGAAGCCAGCCACATCAGGTACACATTGTCTGTATTATGCTCGTTTTGCCTCGACGATTGTCTATTCGCTGTATTTCGCTTTGCCTGGACCAGTATACACTCGCCGTATGTATTGCGCTCCATTGTTAGCTCACATACCCTTGCACTCATTCCCAGACGCAGCAGCCTGTACCAAAAAATCGGGTGGTGTATTATCTGGGAAATGTGTGGCGGTTCTTGGGGATGACACACTCTCTTACCTTACGGCCCCCCTGCCCCCAAGGCAGGGGGAGACCCACCGTTGCGCTGTAGGCCAGCCCACTCCAGGCCAGCCTTCACCATGCACAGTTTCTTCAACTCCATATTGTGCACAGCCCCTGTTCCAACACCTTTGCTTCGTAACCTACCTGTGGCAGCTCCTCTGCCACGTTTTTCGTGCAGCGCCTCAGACCTGCAGGACACAGTCGGGGCGTTGACACAAGGAACCCTAAATAAGGAACGAGGCCCCTGTTCTCCAGAAGTTAAGCTTCGATTCCCCATCGAAAACAAAAGGAAAACCTGAGGCAAGCTGCGACACGATCAAGGAGCACCGAGCCCCTCCCCAACGAAAAGGGTTCCTTCCTCAGGGCCCCGGCTGTACATCACATTACCTCTCGCTCGTGCCCAGACGCGGCGGCCTGTACCACTACAACTTAGAATCGGTGGGCGGGGAGGCTCGTGTCGGACGGGGGAGAGGGTGGTCCGGGGAGGCTGTGCCGAGGTACTCAGGCTGCCCGCGAGCTACACGCTGCGGGCGCCTGCTCTCTTCAGCTCCACTCGGCCGGCTCTCTGTCCGTTGCCGTCACCGCGGCGCCCGCCAGGTATCTTTTCTGATTCTACGCCAAATCGGTGCTCGCCCTGTGTTCTCACACAATCGCAACAGCTCTGAGGCTTATGTTGGTCTAGTCCCCACAGCTAGCAGCGGTAGACTCCTGACACTGCCTGGGCTGATGGCTTCACTGTTTTGACTTCGCTAGCCTATGCAACACCTGCTAATGGGTCGTGCACTCGCCTTCATATGCAGCGCGTGCCTTCCAGGCTGTCTTGGCGCCCGTCGTCGAATCACCCTATGCCCATGATGATCGAACACAAGAAAAATGAGGCTCGAGGTTCGGGGGGGGACAGTATACTTTTCGTCCCGACAACTTTTATGTGCGGACGTGGGGCTGGGATGTTTTCCTCGGGGGAGCCTCGGAACTCGCATAGACGGATGTCGGTCTCTACTAACAAAATTAATTACGGCCTCTAGACTCTCGGTGCCCAGCACCTCGGCGTTGCTCGCCAGAGCTCTAGAGTCTAGAGCTGTGTCTGTTCTTGGAGGTCCTTGGTGGAACGCGCCAAGAAATCTCTCTTGCGATCAGTCTCGGAGTATACGCCTATGGCCCTGCCACACGTTCGTGAGTTGGGAAAGCTAGAACGATGAGGATCCCACGGCACTTCTGCACGTTCGTGTTTCTGTATGAGTATCCCTGCCCATCTTGGCCCGGGATAGCCAGCTCTCTGGGGGAAAGGGGGAGATGCTTTAGCATCCAGAGCACGGGGTTACTTCACACTGTCCCGAAATGTTCTGCTCAGCTGCGTGCCCCATAATGTCGACAGGCTTCATGCTTCAACGGCCACGCCATCCAAGAATCCCCCGCCTCCGGTAGGGGCGCAAACAATAACATGACCATGAACTTTCGGAGGCCCGTGCGGATTTCTCGGATGCACGCGCTGCGGCTCCCCTCCGGCGCCGCCCCGTGCGCGCTCCGCGCGTCCGGGGGGGAGGTCCAACGCCGATCCACGAGATGCGCGAGGCCCTCCGAAAGTTTGTGTTTCTTTCATTGTTGGTTTTAACGGGCGAAGAACGGTATAACATAAACTTTTTCGCTGTCGGGGGCGCCTGTCCCAGGGCGGCTGGCAAGTTTCTATCCTTACGGTGGCACCGTAGGGGTATAAACTTTCCAGCCGCCCCGGGGCAGGCGCCCCCGACAGCGAAAAAGTTTATCTTATGCCGTTCTTCGCTCGCTGATGGTTCCCCGCTCCGCTCCCCCGCGCCCGCGCCCGCGCCCGCGCCCGCGCCCGCGCCTGCGCCTGCGCCTGCGCCTGCGCCTGCGCCTGCGCCTGCGCCTCGGCGGCCGCGGGGCTGCCGGCAGCGGAGCCCGCGCTGTGCAGCTCCTGGGCGAGCCCACCCGGGGCGACGGTCGGCCCGCGACGCGCCCGCGCGCGCGCGCGAGCGGCGGCAGCCGCAGGCGTTTGAGGCCGAGATATCCCGACGTGCTCGCGCTGCGACAAACCAAAAAATGCCTGGAGGTTTTTTGGGCGGCTGCGTCGGTTCTCGGCGATTGCTTCTCAAGCCTCGGGGTGCTCTCCAGCAGCTGCGCCTCGCCGAGGGCGCCCAATGGGGTGCCCGGGTCGTCCCGAGCGGTCGCCGAGGAGCCGAGGTGTGGCCCCCGAAGATCGCCGGCGAGCGAGAGGGGGGAAGTGAGAAGGAGAAGGGCTTCTCAGAGGGCGGCGGGCCTTCTCACAAGCCCTCGCGCCTTCTGAGAAGGCCTCTGCGTCTACGGGAGAGGCTTAGGCATCTTTTTCAGAAGGCCGGGGGACTTCCGAGCCTTCTGAGAAGGCCCGCCTCTCCTCAGTTCCCTCCCGGGCTCGCCGCCGAGAAGAACCAATGCTGACATGTTCGCCTCGTGACCAAAGTACAGCGGGAGGCTTTCGGCCACGTTCGGCCACCCAGGGAGCCTTCGCCAGGTCGCTATGGTATGGGCTGGAACATGCTGGGACGTCCAGGGGGCCCACATGGACAAAACCAAGACGTCGCAGGTCAGGCATGCGACCTCCTGGTTCTTCCATGCATGGCCCCCGCTTGCCCCGACCCGCTCCCTGGGGCCGGCTCCTCATCCCGAGCCCTTGTGCCACATCGCGGAGCAGCATCACCACCGGCGCCCCGAGGAGGAGGAGGAGGAGGAGGAGGAGGAGGAGGAGGAGGAGGAGGAGGAGGAGGGGGAGGAGGAGGCGGAGGAGGAGGAGGAGGCGGAGGAGGAGGAGGAGGAGGAGGGGGAGGAGGAGGAGGAGGAGGGGAGGAGGAGGAGGAGGGGAGGAGGGGGAGGAGGAGGAGGAGGAGGAGGAGGAGGAGGAGGAGAGGAGGAGGAGGAGGAGGAGGAATTCCCGCTGCACTTCTCCAGCCGGATGGATCCGTGCGCCCCGTCGGCCGACCCGGAGCGGCACCGCCCCGGCAGGCGGCGAGGCGCGCGATCGCCCGCATCGCCGGGCGGCGGGGCATCGCAGCGTCGCACCGTCTGGGAGGTCCGGGCGGGGCGGACGCGGCCGAGGCGGACCCCGCCCTGCGGCGCGCGCATCCCGGTTCGGTGGGCGGCGGCGGCGCGGGGCGGCGGGGCGGCGGTCGCGCCGAGGGGCGGCGGCGCCCCAGACAGAAAGCAAATCCAGACATGCCGGCGTCGCAGCCACTTGCGGCGAGATGTGGTTTGCCACTCGCGGCCTCCAGGGGCCCTCGCAGGGCCCCGGGGCCGACGAGAAAACGAAAGGAGATGAGAAACCATCCCCTGGGAAAGGGTGGCGACGTGGGAGGACCACGCATTGAAACAAAAGTGAAGGCATGGCACGTTTGGCAATCAAAGCCGAGCTTTTTCTGCACGTTCGCCCCCCAAGGGACGTCAACGGGCCCTCGAGGCCGTAAGAAGGCCATCCTGAACGAAGAGCTGGCCCTCGGACGGTCCAGGGGCCCGTGTTTGACAAATCAAGCCGTCGGAGGTACTGGTCTGCCTGTATCTTATTTTTTTTGTTCTCTCTCTCTCTCTCCCTCGGTCTCGCTCCCTTTTTTTTCTCCTCTCTCTCTATTTGTTATGATTTCTCTATCTCTCTTTCTCTTCCTCTCTCTCTCTCGCAATCGAGAGAGAGAGATCGAGCGAGAGAAAGAGAGAGAGAGAGAGCGACGACGACGACGACCACGACCACCAGGCCGACGATGACGACGACGGCGATAACGACGACAATGACTACGTCGACGATGACCACGCAGACCGCGACGCAGACGACAACGAAGACGATAACGACGACTACGACGACCACGCCGACGACGACGACGACGACTGTGACGACGACGACAACGACGACGACGTCGATGAAGACGACGACGACGACCACGACCACACTGTCGGCGGTGACGCCGAACACGACGCTGACGACGACGACAACGACGTCAACGACGACGACGACGACGACGACGACGACGACGACGACGACGACGGCGGCGGCGGCGGCGGCGGCGACGACGACGACGACTGATCAGGCGGGAGGTTCGGGCGGGTGGCGAGAACGGGCGGGACAGATGCTCGCTTTCAAAGCAAAGGGTGCGCGCGCCAAGGCAAGAGCTCCACATTGAAAGCGCACCGGCCTCTATCCCTGTACCTGTCTATAACAATACTATGCCCTCCACCCTTGTGACTGTTGGAGCTTGGCCAGCTTGTGGTAGGCCACTCGGGGCAGAACGTGCGCTTACCAACTAAAGGATCCAGACAAAGTGCGATGTAGCGGGCGGGCGATCCGATGAAAAGAAACACGATGAGAAGTTGCAATGAAGGTCCAAGCGAAACTTTTGAGCGCCTTACCTTCAAGATGCGTAACAAATTGTGATACCTTGTCAAGCGGACTGCCCTGACCGGCCTTCAGACACGTCTGGTGGTTCGACAGGGGTGGGGGTACTCATGAGGAGGAGACATGGCGGACTGATGAGGCAAAGGGGAGAGGCGGAGAACGAGAAGGAATACCCAAACCTCCGACGTCGTGTTTTTTCCACCACATTGAACCCAGAAGTCTCGACCCATTCCCAGGGACAGGCTTTCCATCCTGAGTCGTGCTCTAACAGTCCCGGGGTCCGGCGAGAGCCCCCAAGCCGAAAGTGATTCTTGTCACGACGCGAGGGATTCTGGGGAGGGAGGGGAGGGAGATCGAGGATCCAGGGTCGACCCTCGTGAAGGAGGAGCACCCCCCCGACCCGAAGCACCCCTCTCCTGCAGCTCCCCGAGCCGCCTGCGCGCCCGGTGCAGTTCCCCGGCGAGCTGCCGAACGTCGCGCCTGTGGGCGGGGGTCTGCGATCTCGCTGCGACCCGCCCACTCCTCCCGCTCCCTCCTCCTCCTCCTCCTCCTCCTCCTCCTCCTCCTCCTCCTCCGCGCGCCAACTGGTAAGGCTTCGGGATGCCCACAGGCAGTCCCCGCAGGTAGCTCCGGCTGGCCTCAACACCCCAACCCTGGGACGCGGAGCGTCCCAGCCCTGATGGTCCGCTACCGAAAATTTCCGGTAGCGCTCCGCAGAGACCGGTCGCTACCGAAATACCGAAATGTAGCGCCCAATACTGGTATCAGATCGTTCTTAAATCCGCCATTTCAACGCCCTCAAACGAAGATCCGGTCGCTACCGAAATTCGGGGTGCGTCGAAATCGCTACCGAAAATTTCCGGTACCAGACCATCTGGGAGGGGCGCCTGCCGCCGGAGGCGGCGTTGGGGTGTTGAGACCGCCCTCGGGGCGCCTGTTGAGGCCAGCTGGGACTGCTCGGGGGGCCTGTTCAGGCCTGCTCAGACCAGGGGGGGGCTGCCTGTGCAAAACCCGAAACCTGACCAGCGTCAACCTCGGGGCCCTGAAATCTGGGCATCGCGAGTTTGTCATCATGGACGTCTTTCGACCCCCGGGGCCATCACAGATCGATCCGAACCGAAAGAGGTGCCGCAAAAAAAGATGGGGTCTAGAACTCTGGTCGTGACTTCTACGATGTTTTGCACTTGTTCGTGACGTCGGATCCCAGGCAAGAGAACTGGGGGCGTTCAGATTGGGAAGGCTCGGACTGCGCACAGACGGACCCCCCAGGTACTGTACACCACGCGAAATGGTTAAGAAATCATGGGTTAAGAAATTCATGGTCTCAGAACTTGAATAAGAACCTATTTTTTCCATCAAAATCTTAAGATTTACATTGAAACGTTAAGAATAATCGAGACTCTGGCCGAAAATTTAGGTTTTCTTAAGCATCGCCTAAGGTGTAGTCCCCGGCTGGCCTCAACAGGTGCCCCGAGTAGTTTGGGGCGATCTCAACACCCCGGCGTGCCCGCACCCGTGGGCGGGGGTGCCGAGGCCGCCCCAGACTACTTGGGGGGGGCCTGCGGAGGCCGGCCGAGACATCTGGGGGGGCTGTCTGTGTGGGGGGCCTGGAACCTTACCACTCTCATGACTACCTGCCAGACCACCCCAACCCAACCCGAAGACCCGAATTTCGGGTTGGGGGGGGTAAGGGTTCCATATGTGTTTTTTCGATGTTCCCCGACCCCCCCCAACTGGAAATGGAGGGCAAATCGAGACCTTCGGGTTGGGTTGGGGTGGTTTGGTGGGTGGGGGCTGTCTGTGTGGGGCCTGGAACCTTACCACTCTCAGACTCTCAGACAACCAACGTCTGCAAAAAAGCACGACTGTTGGTACGCAGCACTTTTCGGCCTCGTGCGACCGTTCTCAGGCTCCGGGGCCGTGATCCGACAAGAGCTCATGAGAAAGAACTGGCCATGGGGAAACTGACGGGACCTCCATGGGGACACCGTGTTGAACAAAAACTGGGGGCACCGGACCTCTGGGCTCGGAGGTGGCATTGTTTTCGTGACGTGGGCCCCCACGAGGTCTCGACCATTTCCCCAGAGGCCAGGTCTGCGTCCCAGGTCATTAGTCAGCGGTCCCGAGCCAGGGCCCGGTGAGAGAGAGCCCGGAGCCCGAAATCCCAGAAAACCCGGCCTTTGCATGTTCCTTGCGACGCCCAGACCAGAGGGGCTTCTCTTCCTCCTGCAGCTGAGGGCTGGCCTGAGGCGGCCTGCGGGGGTGTCTGCCCGCGCCAGCTCCGCGATGCGCTGGTCCTTGCGGGCGCACGCGCTGCGCAGCTCGGCGATCTCCTGCTCCATCTGCAGGATGACCTCCTGGAGGGGCACCCAGCCGGAGGCGGAAGAACACACCAGTTCGACGGGAGAGGACGGATGGCCAGGAGTGGGGGACGAAAGGAAGTCTGTCCATGGGCAAGAGAAGTGCGCTGCCCATCAGGGCGCTTTGCCGAGCAGACTCGACCAGCACCGCAGAGCAGGGCGACAGCACGAGGAACAAAAGAAAGGGGATGAGGAGGACGACCAACAGGAGCAGGAGGGAACATGGATGAAATGTAAAAGAGAGCGATCCATGGGATGGGACAGGGTGGGGATAGGATTGGAAGGGAGGAGTGCTTGTCTCAACCCTCCTGTGTGTTTTGCCCTCATGCTCAAATCCGCGGCGCTGCGCGTCCCCGTCCTTCCCTCCTGTTCGATTATCCCTCCCCCTCCGCCTCCTTTTCTTGCCTGTGCCCTCCGCGTGTCAAATCCGGCATACCCCTCACACGCATCAAGAAACCCAATAGGAAACTCCGCCTACGGTGTCACTGGGTGCAGACGTATGGCGGCACTGCGCAGATGTCGGCACAACCGCCACGAGGATCGTGGCCCCATGGTAAGCTCCACCGACGGTGCCAATGGGCGCAGACGCATGACGGTTCCGCACCACTTTCGGCATGCCCCTCGCGAGGATCGCGGCCCAAACTGAGCTCCACTTGCGGTCCCAGTGGGCGCACATGTATGGCAGCATTGCGTCAATTTCGGCACACCCATCGCGAAAACCGTGGTCCCACACTGAGTTCCATCTACAATGTCAGTTGTCGCAAACGTATTGCTGCGCCGCGCCAATTTCGGCACACCCTTCGCGAGGGCCTTGGCCCCATAGGGAGCTCCATCTAACTACGGTGTCAGCGGTCGCAAATTCACACCGACGGTCTCAGTTGTTCTAAACGGAGGACAGGAGGTACGGCGCAAAATTCGATATACCCTTCACGAGGACCGTGGTCGCACGACAAACGGCCTGAGGGGTCGTAGACGCATCGCGGCACCGCGTAAATTTCGGCACACCCCTCACGAGGACCGCGGCCTTGTAGGGAGTTCCACCTTCGGCGTCCGTGGGTGCAGACGCATGGTGGCTCACTTACGACGTCAGCGGTCGCAGACGTATGACGGCACCGCGCAACTTCCTGCTCACCCTTCATGAGGATCGTGGCCCATGGGGATCTACGACGGTCTCAGTTGCCGCAGACGCAGGGCGGCACTGCGCCAACTGTGGCACACACGCACACTTTTCGGGGCGTCGCGGGCCGGTGACACACCTGGCCGCTCCGCGCCCGCGTCGGATCCGTGCGCGCGCACAGCAGCTGTGAAGAAAAGGGCAAGGGAGAGGGGAGACGCGGCGGCCCCTCGCGGGGCAGTGGTCGGGCGGGGCGCTGGGGCGCCAGGGCAGCAGCCGGGGGGCCCGGGCGGCTGGGGCAGCGGGCGGGCGATGGGCGTCCAGAGTCCAGAAGCGAGAGGGGGGGGGGGAGCCGCGCCAAAGCCAGGCGGGCAAGAGCAGCAGGGCAGCGCCAGGGGCGCCGAGGCAAGAGAGCAGCAGAGCAGCGCCGAACCTGCGCAGGAAAAAGCGGCGCGGCGCCAAAGTTGCGCGGGCGGAGGCGGCGCCCGCCGGCGTCGGGGCCAGGGGGCCGAGGCGGGCGGCCGCCCGGCCAGAGGGCCGAGGGGCAGGCGACCGCTGGTTTCGCCGACGGCTGGTTTCGCCGCCCTGCAAAACCAGCTCCGTCGGCGAAACCAGCTGCCGTCGGCGAAACCAGCTGCCGTTGGCGAAACTGCCCGACCCGACCCGCCCACTAGAGTCCGCCCTCCTTGGCAGAGGGTGCCCCGTCCCTGCTGGAGGCGCCCCCGACGACCCGGCGAGCGCCAGGCGCACGGAGCGCCAGCTTTGCGAGGTGAGCCCGTGGCTCACCTCGCAAACAAAGGCCTGGCTCGTGGCAAGTTGGGGGAAGGAGGAGGAGCAGGCCTTCTCAGAAGGAGGAGGAGGGGGAGGGGGAGGGGGAGGAGGAGGGAGGAGGAGGAGGAGGAGGAGGAGGAGGAGGAGGAGGAGGAGGAGGAGGAGGAGGAGGAAGAGGAGGAGGAGGAGGAGGAGGAGGAGGAGGAGGGCGGCGCGGGGTCCCCGATGTCGCACCGCGGGGGGGGAGGAGGCGGCGCGGCCAGCTCGCCACGGGGGGGGGCGGAGGAGCCGCCCGCAGGGTGCGGAAGCCCGAGTGCACAGAGGCTGCAGGAGGGCCTCCGTCGGTGCGGGCCACGGCGTCGCCACGTTCCCTCACCAGCCGCCGCTGGGCTGGATGAGCGCTGGGTCGGACCCATTTGGGGCCTCACTGCTCCCTGGGTCCTGCGCCTCTGTCGCCACTGTCATTGGCTCCTGGAAGGGCAAGCGGAGCGGGGGGCCATGCGGATCCGGCCGAGAACTCGCGACTCCCTGGGAGGCTGCGAAGTGTGCAGCTGTCGCCACTTTCGGGGGCTCCTGGGAGGCACGGCGGAGACGAGGGCAGCGCACGTCGTGAATATCTGGCGATGTGTTATTTTGTATGGAGCGGTCATACAAGTATTTGCCTCGCATGGAGAAAGGATGGAAGACGACTGCTCAACGCCGACCCCCAAAGGTATAGGATCCTTTCCCTGGGACCGGTTTTACGTTCCGAGTCGTTTACTGACAGTTCTGGACCCCAGAATTCCCGAACCTTTCCCCGGGGCCAGCTTTTCATCTCGCGTCGTTTCTTGACGGTCCCAAGGCCCAGCGAGGGCCCCTATGGGCCGAAAGCGGCCAAACACTATCCTTCCACGACGCGAGCATATCTGGACCGAGCAATCCTTGTACGAGAAGGACGACGATCGGGCAATGCTCAGGGGAAACACAACTGGCGGGGTCGCAATTTGCTAGAGTAAGGGCCGTTTTCTCGAGGAAGTGGTCCCTCAAGAACGCTCCAGAGCCTTTTCAAAAAACGACCCCAAACGTCCGAACAGTTCCTCGAGCTTCGATCCTGAAACATCGATTTCCAGGAGGAACTGTTGACCCCCTGATGGTGACCCCACTCGACACTGCCCGAGGATGGGCGACGGATGCTTCCGAGCTCTTCGGGGACATGGAGTGCCGCCTGAGGGGCCCTCATCCTCCTCCTGCTCCTCCTCCTCCTCAGATCTGCCCTTCCCATCCCTCATTCATACAACCTTCCCTTTCCCTATCCCTCTCCCTCCTCCCCACGTTCACTCACTACTTGGGGAAACCCAAGGTTACCTATACCGCTGCTCCCAGGACCTCTCCCGGGGTGCGTTCTGACCAGAATTTCGAGGCGAATCCAGAAGTGGTGACGAGGGACTCCCAGGAGGCCGAGAAAAGGGAAAACGGGCGAAGGGTTAGCGGCATGGGTACTTTTGCATGCTGTGCCGCGCATCGAATCTGAGCCGGAGCGCAAGGACCCCTCGGCACTGCCCGAGGTGCCGACGAGCCCACCAGGGGCGGCCCAAGGGCTCCTCCGGGCCAGCGCCGCCTTGCCGCCCCTCTCCAGCGCCCGGCAGCGACCGCGCGCCCGCGCTGCCACTAAGCCTCCATATGGGGTGGGGGGGCCAGCAGCCTCCTCTCTCCCTGCTCTCCGAGCAGAGGAGGAGGAGGAGGAGGAGGAGGAGGAGGAGGAGGAGGAGGAGGAGGAGGAGGGGTCCCTGCCTCCCTATCTCCCCCACCACCCTCCAAACCTCCTCGTGGTGAAATCACGACTGGCGTAAGGCTTCGGGTTGCGCACAGACGGCCGCACAGGGTAGTCTCGACTCGTCAACGGGCTCCCCGAGCAATCCAGGGGTGGTCTCGGCACCCTGGCGTGTGCAGACGGGGGGCCAGTCTGAGGCCAGCTGGGACTGCCTGGAAGGGCTGCCTGCGAGCAACCCGAAGCCTCACCGCACCCCGCCTCCCACACCTCGTCGCGACATGATGCAGTCACGACGGACAGATGTTTGTGGTTCGCCCTTCAGGTCCCCCTCTTTGGGGCGGCCGTCGCATGAAGCCAGTCGGGGTGAGAAGCGAGCACCTGGGGAGGGGCCCAGACCTCTGGGGAGCCGCGCATTTAGCACACAGACGAAACCACGACGACGGATGTTTGGGCTATCGTGGAACCCGTCGCTGCGAAGCAATTGCAACATCCTGACAGAAAAACACGACAGGAACCCTGAACCCCATCTTGTTGATGCATTTTTCGAGCCGGGTCGATCTGTGAGGGTCCCGGGGCCCAAAGCCTCGTGAAAACGCCAGGTGTGAAAAAATTGCAGCGCCCGGATATCATGGAGTGTGCGCCCCAAACGCCCCCGAGAAGCAACAATCTTTGACTTGCGGATGGTCGTCTTGGGCATGCCAATGCGTGTTGCCCTTTCGGTCTTCGGGACGCCGACGACTTCCCCAGGCCCCCCAAAACGGCCCAACGGAGTCCCAAGAGGGATCCAAGAGGGAATACCCAAGGCGGAGCAAGAAGACCCCAACACTGGGCCCCAGGACGCCCAAGAGTGCGCTCGCCGGGACTCAATTCATCTCCCAGACCCGTTGACGTCCCAAGATGAGCCTCAGACGGTTCCAATACCGCACCAAGGGTCCCCCAAGGCGACCCAGAGGGACTCACGATGGCCCAAGAGGGCCCCGCGACGGTCAGTGTCAAAAACCAATGCAAAAGAGCACTAAGTGAGAACCAAGAGCCCGCGCATAATCCAGGTTTAGCCGCGAAGTGGATTGTCTTTCCCGACCCTCTTATGTTTGTTTTCGTGCTGCGTTTTGGGTAGAGCACTGTGGTCTCCATCGTTCCCTCTTTCCTCCCCCTCTTCATCCTCCTCCCCTCCTCCTCCTCCTCCTCCTCCCCCTCCTCCTCCTTCCCCCCCCTCCTCGTGGCTCCACGCTCCTCCTCCCCTTTTCTTCTGTCTTCTCCTCCCCATATCCTGTCTCCCATGCTCCTACCTTTGCTACCAAGAGGCTGCCACGTGCTCAACCGCAATCACTTTCGTGGGCTCCTGGGAGGTCCGACGGGGTGGAAGTGCACGCGCATCCACCCAAGACCTCGCGGCTCCCTGGGTGGCTGCGAACTTCCCTGACGTTCATCAGTCGAGCTGTTTCCTGACTGCAGGGCTGATTCGTCATGGATGGGAAACAGCGTTTGCAATTCAGCGTAGAGCTGCTAAGTTTAACTAAGATACATTCATATGCGCGATGCTAGATTCCATGTCGCTAACACTGAATCAGCGTTCAGTGCTGTTATACTGATGCATGCACATAGATGTATACACCCATGTGATTCTACACATACATATACACATTTGTGTGTATGTACATATGTTATATACAGAAAATTACACATGAACATGCGTCGACCATTGTCCCGTGCGCGGGCATCCCGCGAATTCCGTGCGTCACGGTTTTGGTTGTTCAACGGATTGTTGCTTTCCAACAATCTCCGTGATCTTAGTGTGGTGCTGGTTTTCTTCCCACTTGCGTCGCACCCGCGTTCACACACCCGCTCCCTTATTCTTCTCCCTCTCATCACGCATTCACAGACACACACAACACACACGACGTATGCGTACATACTGGGCACACACATGAGGCACACGTCCCGATACGGCCGCACACGTATGTGCTGCATACTGGGCACACACGTGAGGCACACGTCCCGATACGGCCGCACACGCATCATCCACATACACATGACATGCCATATACAAGACGTGCGTGTAGCATTCGCAGTGCACGGCAGGCTTGGCACTTACTCGACACCATTGGGGGTGCGCAGGGTGTGGTCCCCGAGCGCGGCGTCTATGCGGGCCCTGGCGCAGGGCATAGCAGGAATGGTTTTTTCTCGACACCAGAGGGGGTGCGCAGGGGGTGGTCCCCGAGCGCGGCATCTACGCGGGCCATGGCGCAGGGCATAGCTGGCGTGGCGCTCTCTCAACAACATAGGGAGTGCGCAGGGGGTGGTCCCCGACGCGGCGTCTATGCGGGCCATGGCGCACGGCATAGCGGGCGTGGCATTTCCTCGGTACCATAAAAAGGGGGTGCGCAGGGGGTGGTCCCCGAGCGCGGCGTCTATGCGGGCCATGGCGCAGGGCATGGCAGGCGTGGTTTTTTCTCGACACCATAAGGGGGTGCGCAGAGGTGGTCCCCGAGCGCGGCGTCTATGCGGGCCATGTCGCAAGGAACAGCAGGCGTGGTATTTTCTCGACACCATAGGGGATGCGCAAGGGGTGATTTTCGAGCGCGGCGTCTATGCGGGCCATGGCGCAAAGCATAGCAAGCTTGGCACTTTCTCGACGCCACAGGGGGTGCGCAGGGAGTGGTCCCCGAGCGCGGCGTCTACGCGGGTCATGGCGCAGGGCATAGCAGGCCTGGCTGTTTCCCGACACCAGATGGGGTGCGCAGGGGGTGGTCCCTGAGAGTGGCGTCTATGCGGACCATTGCGCAGGGCATGCCCGGCGCGACAGTCCCTCCAGAGCAGGACTGTAAACATTCTGGCTCGAGTTGAGCGCACGACACGTTTTGGTTTCCGCGCCGCGCCGCCGGGGTCTCTGCGCTGGTGCGGCATAGATTCCCTTTCAACGAGATGCCTCCCAAGTGGGCTATCGCCGAGCTGCCGCCTCCGCGCTTGCAGCTGAAAATATCATGATTGAAAGCGGTTTCGAGATCACTCTGCGACCCCGGGACACGGCCCTCGGTGACCACCTTGCACTTTTTCCCGATGAAGGATAAAAGGCGGGGAAGAGGTAGGAGGTTCAATCAGTAGCATGATGGAGGACAAAATAGGAACACATGTGCGACGAATGTTTCGAACGCAGGATGGCGCATATACCAAAATGATAAGCAAACACCTAACACTTAACTTAAGTATGTGGGGTCCCTCGGTTGCGTTTCTTCATTTGGAAATCAGGTTGGCGTCGGCCACTCATGAGCAATCATTTGCTGTCAATATTAACGTGCGTTTCCGCGGGGCCGTGCTGCGGTTCTGTAAATTCCAAGTTTCCACAATGTAGATTTCAAACTGACATGCGCGATGCTGTTGTGTTAACATGTGCTCCTGCGCTGAAGTGATACGCTTCCGTAAACTATGCCTCTCCGTACATTAAATTCGTTAACCTCGAACATAACATTCACAATGCCAAGATATTAGCTCTGATTGTTGGAGGGAGGCTGGCTTTCATAAGTTCTGTCCGTAAGCCCAATTCGACAAGTTCCGCAGTATAGTCTGCCCTCAAAAACATATCGTTTGACTTATGTGTTGATATGCGTTTCCGCGAGGCTGCATGGGTCTCCGTCAGCTCCTCACCGTTACTTGCGAGGCGCTGATGGGCTTCCATGCTGCCTCCGTAAATTCCAACTTCCTGATACTGGAATGCGTTAGCACAACATCTAGAACATGATATGTCGATATGCTTCCGCGGAGCCATAGTGGCCATGATGCGCTTCCGCGTATTATTAAGATGCTTGCGTACGTGTTTCAGAATTTCCGCGACATGATCGCAGACATCGGAACACAAATGTGCCCCTGGCGTTTGTCGATTCAATTTTAGTGTGAACCTGTGTTTCCGCAGGACTCATCGGGCTCCGTAAATTAATTGGGAGCTTCCGCTTCCGTAAGGTGATTGTGAAATTCAGACACGCGATCGAATAACGGAAGCGGGATAAGGAGCTTACGGGAGCGGAGAACGCCGGAAATTCATTGCACTCCAGCCGCGCAGCACGCATTTCTGGGAGAAGCCTGTGCTGTCCCGCCGGTCATCGGGAATAAAGCGAACAGTTCAGGAACAATCTGGGCATTCAGCGCATCCACGCTATTTTGCAAGAGAAAGGGCCGAATTGTTGGGACAAGTTGCGGAGCGCAAGACGCGTTAGCGTTTTCATGGTTTCTCCTCTGCTGCCTTTTTATGTTTGAGCCCGCTGAATGTTCGACCGATACGTTCGCAACTCATATTAGTTGTTGAGAGGCAAATTCGCTTGCAATGCGTGCATGCGTGCGCCACTTTTTGTTGGCTCCTTTCCTCATGGGATTGTGCGTGTGCGTGGGTAGCTTGGGTGTAAGATCCAGTAAAGCTGGCCGCATCCAAACACACTGTCTACTTTTCGCGCTCGATTGCAGAAATCATACATATGCGGGGCAGCCGCGCCCGCCCAGAAATGCAACAGACCTCGACCTGCCCCAAAAAAACTCCGATAGTAGGACACCGCAGGATACACCCTGGCTGGGGATATCCTCCTGCTCCCTCCTCCGACCCCCTCCTGTCTCATCTTTCTCCTCCTGCGTCGTCCTCTGGCCTCCTCCTCCTCCTGCCTCCACCTCCTGGGCCTCCTCCTTCTCGTCTTTTTCCTCCTCCACCTCCTCCTCTTCCATCCTTCCCTCCATCCCGCCTGTCCTCCTCGCGCACATCTCCTTAATTCTAACCAGGGCACGCATGTCTATGTTCCTCTTCGCCCTCGCCGCCACGGCCGGCATGCGCGCATTCTCCGATGCCCGGACAACGAAGCCTGTGGGGCAACCCCGCGAGCCAGGCCGTTGGGACAGCCCCGTGGGCCGCTGGGGCGCGGGAGCAAGCCGTCGGGACAACCCCGCACCTCGAGCTGGACGCCGCCGCGCTCAAGCGGGAGACAACGCGGGGCCTAGCTCTGCCGCGAGCTCTGCCGCGAGCTCCGCCTCAGCCCTGAAATTCGCAGCCCTCTTGCCGAACATGGAGGTGGGACCACCAGCCTCCCCGAAAGTGCCCAAAGAGGGCCCCGAAAGGCCCCACGGGGACGCCAACAGAACTCACAGCAACAAATCCGCAAAGGCCGCCTCCTCAACCTCCCAGATCTCGACCGTTCCTTCCTTCCTTCCTTCCTTCCGTCATGCGATGCTTTCTGGATGGGCTGGTGGGGATGTTTTTTCTTTTTACAGCCGCAGGCGGAAGCGCCAGCGGCGGGAGGTCGCGAACGGGCCGCGGACGCGACTAAATTACCTAACGCGCGCGGGGCCGCGGATCAGGCGGCTCACGACAGCGTCCAGGGCGGCGGGGCCGATGCAATCCAGGAGCCAAAGACAGCCCCTGAACGGGCATGCAGCGGTGCGTCCAACGGGCCTGGGGTAGGCACCGAGGAGACCAAGCGCAGCCAAAATGGCGCGAGAGGCGTTCCCAACGTCCAGGTGCGAACGAGAGGAACGTTCCCGAGGACGTCGACCCAAGCCTGACGGGCAGCACAGACGAATGGAGACGTAAGTCCAGCGGGGATCCCGACGGCGGCAACGAGCCGCGACGCCGACCGGCATCAAAGTGTGAGAATGTTGCCAAGAAGCTTCCACACCGAGATGCTTCAGCCCAGACCCAGCGGGTGGGAGGGCGCCTGATGCACGCTACACGCTCGAAACGCGGCGCGTGCACATCACAGTGTCTCAGTGCTGTCCAGAACGAGTCGGAGAGCACACGCGGGCGAGACCGCGTATAACCAGGCAAGTCCGTCAAAGCCACTGATCCAGGGTCACGGCGGAAAGCCGCCCAGCACTGAGAGTTCCCGAGGACGCCGATCCAGGGAGCCCGACGGGTACCACAGACTGACTGGGGACAGAGGTCCAGCGGAAAAAGCTGACGGCGAACCAGGTCGCGACGCAAGAAAGCGCATCCAGGGTGTGGAGCATGATGACAAGAGTACACCCTGCGAAATGCTTAAGAAATCATGGGTTCAGAAATTCATAGTCTCAGAACTTGAATAAAAACACAAAAGTTCTATCCAAACCTTAGGATCTACATTGAACCATTAAGAATCATCGAGACGCTGGCCGAAAATTCAAGTTTTCTTAAGCATCGCCTAAGGTGTACCTTCCACAACTGAGATGCCGGTGGGGATGCGCGAAGCGCCAAGACTTCAAGGCCCACCAGTTTTCTGCAGCGGTGGCGTCGTGGGGTGGCCCGTGAAGGCCCCCAAGAGGGCCTCAAGAGAGCCCGAGGAGTGGCCAAAGGCAGCTCCGAAGGCAGCCAACATGGCCTGGCACGCTCCCAAGCGCTCCCAGGCGCTCCCAGGCGCTTCCAGGCGCTCCCAGGCGCTCCCCAGCGCTCCCAGGCGCTCCCAGAGAGGCATACCACTTGTCTTAGGTCGGGCATGTCCTCCTGCAGGGGGAATCTGGCCGAAGCATCGAAACAACATATCATAAGACACACATAATCAAAAGCATTGTACAAACACCGTCCCCCGACTACTGTGTTTGACTATGTTTGGATACTCCTCCTGTAGAGGGACAGGCCCGACTGAACACTTGTCCAAATCAGCTTCAAAGAGGCTTCCATATCGACGAATCCGCGAGAGCGCTTTCACTCGTTGACTCCTGGGTCTGGTCAGGCTGCTCCAAAGCTTCGGTTTGGCAGCTGCCCCCTCGGCGCTCCACTGCTTGCTCCTGCCAGTCCGCACGTCCCTGCTCGAGGCAACCCGCCCAGGAATGGGTTTGGGATGGACTGCCGAGGACACGAAACGTCGAGGATGCCATGCGGACTCCAGCCTTGACGAGGGCGCCCGGGGAGCCCCAGCACGACAACAATCGCGACCGTCGATCCTCCGATCATCGATCCTCAGATCATCGAGCCCCAGACCTTTGGCTGATTGACTCGCGTAGGGCGCATTAGCCCCTTCCTGTGGGCTGGCTTTTCACTCCACATGGTTAGATGATCTCAGAAGCCGGTCAGAAAAAAACTGTCCCCGAACACCGAAATTCAGGAAAGACGCTGGAACTGGTAGAAGCAATCCACTTGTGGTCAGGCTCCTCCGATCCAAATCCGCTCAAAACCATCCCCCAGAGCCCTCCGAGTGTCCATCCTGTGGGTTTTTCTAGCTGCGCCTAGCCATGGCTACAAGGAGGTCCGAAAGTAAACAAAAATCAGAAGCTGCCAGCCTCGACCATCGATCCTCCAGGGGACTTCCCAGGCGGTCTGACGAGGTTCCCGTAGGCCCCCGGAGGTCAACAGAGGTGCACAGACTACCAAACACATCCAAAGCATCTCGATCGTCGTCGTTGTCGTCGTCGTCGCGTCGTCGTCGTCGTCGGTCTCCTCGTCGTTCTTGCCGTCGTCACCGTCGCCCCTCCTGAAAGACAGTCGGCTATCGGAGCTGTCCCGTGGCACGTCCTGACCAGACTGTCGCTGCGCATCCAGAAACACGGCGACGAAGACGCCCCAGCGTGCACGCAATATGCCGAACACATATATCCAAGCCTCGACCACCGATCCTCCTGCCCTCGCAGATCGCTGGCGACTTCACCTTGTCGAGTCGCCGACCCCAGCAGCGGATCCCAAAATCCCTTCGGGATTTTGGGATCCGCTGCTGGCCTGCCCTCAGGACGACAAAAAACTGGGAAAACAGTTGGCGCTATGTTTTGTTCTGACTAAACTTTCGAGGCGAGCCAGTCTTCGGTCACCATGGCTCCTCAGTAAGGCCAAACAGGAAGCAGACAAAAGTATCGATACCAGCTCCTAGTCCTCGTCCGCGCCGTCCTCGTCGCCGCCACCGCTGCGGCAATCGTTGCCGGCAGGCGTCGTCGTCGCCGACGGGCGTCGTCGTCGTCGGGTATCGCCGGCTGACGGACGAGAAGGAGGAGGAGGAGGAGAAGGAGGAGGGGGAGGAGGAGGGGGAGGAGGAGGAGGAGGGGGAGGAGGAGGAGGAGGAGGAGGAGGAGGAGGAGGAGGAGGAGGAGAGGAGGAGGAGGAGGAGGAGGAGGAGGAGGAGGAGGTCGTCGTCCTCCCTTCTCGACTCCCAGGACTGGATACAGCCGTGGCGACGAGGGCGCCACCCACAGAAGCTAAGTCGGGCCTGTCCCCCTACAGGGGGATTTTCGACGAAAAATTTAAAATACCCCAAAAATAATCAAAACATCATCCAAAAATAGTCTGGGGACTATTTTTTGCATATTTTTTAATCCTTCTGGGGCATTTTTGGCGTATTTTCTATTTTTCGTCGAAAATCCCCCTGTAGGAGGACAGGCCCGACATAACACTGGAGGCCCCGAATCGGTGTCGTCTGGTGCCCGTTCCATGGTCCATGGGAGCCTGCATGTTCCGTGGCGCTGTCGACTTGGGCCTGCTTCGGACCGCATTTGGAACACAAACTGCACCAGATTTGGGCTGGATTCGCGGGGACTAGAAGAACGAGGAGGGGAAGGGGGAACAGGAGGGGAGAGGAGGAGCAGGAGGATGGTCCAGAATGCGGTACCTACGCGGTCCAAATGCAAGAGAAGCTGATTTCAGTGTCGCCGCCCACGGCTCCCATGAAGAGACATCAGAGTGTCGTTGCCCTCGTCATTACCTTCCGTCCTGAGTGAGCTCAACATCGGCTCCGGGACCCCGTCCCGCGATCCACCCTGCCCAGGTTTTGAAGCTGCGCCCCGCCGCGGCGCAAAAACACCCAGAAACGCCCAAGGAGCCTTCTCGAACGTCGACACAGTGAAAAGCACTTTGGGCGTTTCCGAAGGCGTCGATCTTTTTATGACGGCGTCCTCCTCTGAGGTCCGACGTCGTGAAGAAAGCAAACCCGCCCAGAAGCACAACCAGAGCCCTACACAGGCCCCACGCTTCTGTGGCACTTCTCGAGCTGGCTCGAGTCGTGAGGGCGCCGGGGCCCAGGACGGGACGAGGCCGCACGGTGCGAACAAGCCGCGGCCCCACGACCTCGGGTCTCGCAGCTTCTGGCGCTTGGCGCTTCCCCGGGTCCCTTCTCGATGGCCCCATCCGGGGCCCCGCCGCGGGCCCCATAGAGCTCGAACACCGAGGACCGCGCGCCGGCCGAGACAAAAAGAAGCACGGCGTCGGAGGTCTGCGCCGCGGTCCGCCCCTCGCCAGCTCCTCTGACTACCTACCGGACCACCCCAACCCGACCCGAAGACCCGCATTTCGGGTTGGGGGGGGTAAGGGTTCCCACACGCGTTTCTTCGATGTTCCCCGACCCCCCCCCCCACTGGAAATCGAGGGTCAATCAGAGCCTTCGGGTTGGGGTGGGGTGGTTTGGTGGGTGGTGATCGTCGCCGCCCCGCCCCGGCGGGAGGAGCATGCCGCCCCCCGGCTGCGGCGACACGGCGCGAGGGCCGCCGCCCGGCTGCCCAGCCTGGCCGCGCGAGTAGCGGTAGGCCATGGGGCGGCGCGCCGGGCGGCGCTCGGCCTGCGCGCGGGCGGGGGGGAGCCCCGGGCTTGGGCGTCGCGGGAGAGGGAAGGTCGAGGAGGTACAGTCCACCCGTACCAGAAGGACGCATGGTACAGTCGAGGCGTTGACCCAAGGAACCCTAAATAGGGAACGAGGCCCCTTCTTTTCCATACATTCAACTTCGACGTCCCATCGAAAACTTAAGGAAAACCTTAGGCAAGATGTGGAACAAGTGGAACAATTAAGGAACACCGAGCCCCTCCCCAACGCAAAAGGTTCCTTCTTCAACGCCCCGACTGTAAGAATGCCAGGGCCTCGGAAGGCCCTGTTGACACTGTGCGAGCGGGGCGCCGCCAACGAAAGCGGCCAAGGATGGACCGAGGAGGCAAGGATGCAAAGGTACCCTTTGGAAGCTTGCCCATCCTTCTCATGCGGGTTGACTGTAGGAATGAAACGGAGGCGAAGGAAGCAAAGGGAGGAGAAGGAGAAGGGAATGAGAAAGAGAAGAAGGGGCCAGCAGAAGGGAAGGAAGCAGGAGGTCGAGAAAGAGAACGACCGCAACACCTCTCGGTTAAATCGTACACTCCGAGGCCGACTCGGCAGAGGCTGACCAGTGGAGCAACTTACATCGACATCCCAGAAGTACCACAAAGCACAGGCTAACAAAAGCACCATTACCATCCCTTCCCCGGGCTCGGGCGTCGCAAAAGAAATCGTGACAGTCGTTCATTCGACGTTCCCCGAAGCCCAGGCTCAGACATGCTCGCGGCGGGAAGACTAGCGACGGGAAGTTCTTGGCCGCTTTCGGCATCCGAAGGCCCGCGACGGGCCCTGGGACTATCAACAAAGACCCGACATGATAAACTGGCCCTGGGGAAAGGGTCGGATTCAGTAATGGAAAGACACATGGCGACATCGCATGTCTGAGGGCGTGGCAATCATTCTGCCTTGGGCCCATGACCCATCACGGATCGACCTGGCCATAGACGTGCCACAGAAAGACGGCGGGTTTTCCGACGTGCCCTGAGACAGGGACGCTGCAACCTTTTCACTCCGAGCCCCAGGACGCACCGATAGCAGTCGGTGAGGGCGACGATTCGGCTGACTCCTAGCCCTCAAATGTAAGAATATGCCGCACAATCGCCGAGTGGTGCGTTGGCTGGGCCCCTGACCCAGACTCCTTTCACAACGTTGACGCCCAAAGGTCTCGACCCAAGGGCTTTCCATTGTCGAAAATAGCAAAACAAAAAACCTCACATCGCGTTCTTCTCGTCACTCGAGGGAGCCTGGGGGCAGTGAAGGCATGCGAAAACCGAGGAGAGGTGGACGAGGATGTGTTCCTTCTCGTCGTCCTCCTCCTCCTCCTCCTCCTCCTCCTCCTCCTCCTCCTCCGTTCCCCCTCCTCCTCCTCCTCCTCCTCCTCCTCCTCCTCCTCCTCCTCCTCGGGGGAAGTCCACGCACACAGGGGGACAAGTCATGCAACCACTCTGTGATTGATTCCAATGAGCAGTTGGACTGGGAGCCCCTCCGCTTCTGACGTGCGGAGGGGCGAGGCCTTCGAATTCAAACGTTCGCTCTGCTATGCGGAATCCCAGGGTGTCGTCGTCAGTGACAAATGAGCCCTGGCCATCGCTCGGACGTCCATTCCCTGTGCTTTGTTCGGTTTCGTGCGTGGTTTCTTCGCCAAATGATGAAGGATGCTCCTCGATGGTCCTCGCCGAAAGAAACATGCACACGTCCGAGCGATGCCAGGAGCCAATCATTTACGGGGCAAAACGAGCGGTCGCAGGGCGATCAGAAGCGGGGTTGGCCCGACGGGCTCGTTCATGGTCGGCCACACAGGCAAGAAGCGCAGAGCGACGAGCTTGAGGAGTAATGCTACACGTTCCAAGCACGTGAGGTCGGCACTGGGGCTCGACGATCAACTTGTGAGAGGTATTGAAACTGAGGCCAGACAGTTCGTGTGCCCAGGCACGCGACATTTTGACTACATTGTAATCCTCAGGCGGCCCAAGACCGAGACGCACGAGCGGGTCCGAGGGGAGGAATATACGCCCAGGGAGAGCAAGCAGGTGGACAAGGCGAACACAAAGAATGTGGTGGGTGATCGACCCTGGGCAAGTCTCGCACGCAAATCTGCACGCTGGCGGGGCAAGGACATCGTTCCTGTGTGAAGCATTCCGGGCGCCAGCGATGTGCTACAGCTGGGCCCGGACCCGCTCGGGGGGATGATGTTCAAACTCGTTGTCAATCACTACAGCAGCCCCCTCGTCTCCTGCACTCCCGGGGCATCCGAGGGTGGGGAGCCACGAGGAGCCGTTTTTTGAGCTCAGCGCCCGCACAGCCTAGGCGAAAAAAGGCACAGCAGCGGCGGCTGGGAAACCACTGCTGGCAGTGAGGGAGACCTCACTGACCGAAGGAGTACCTCCAGCAGCCCCATAGGCTAGGAGGCACTGGCCACATGACAGGCGACCGCCCCGTGGCCAGAGCAAGAAAAAAACAGTCCAGCGCCTCAGCAGGGCATACGTCGGGGCAGAGCCCCGAAGCACGGTGAAAGGGGCGAAAACGAAGACTGGGCTCCCGCGCCGCCGCGAGGGGCGGTCCTGCTCGCCGGGCGGCAGGCTGCGCCGGCTCTCCCGCCGCCCGGAGGCTCCCTCCCCGCAGCTCCGTGCGGGGGCGGGCGCGGTCGAGCTCGAGAGGGCTCGAGACCGCTCCACTCCCCCTCCCGCTGCGCTGCGCTCGAGGGGGACGGCCCAACATGGAGCCGACCACCTACAGCGAAGCCAGTCCACGACCGTGCCGTGCTCTTGCACAGCTTGCTCGTGCCGAGCGAACCGCCCCTCCCACCACCCCTAAAACAGTTCTCGTGGCGAGGCGCCAGCCAGCGGCAGAGGTGGCAACACAGACCGATTGCGGAGCCCCTGATGCCAGCCAGGTGCCGAGGGCCGAGACTAAAGAGTTCAGAGCATTTGAGCAAGCTCCTCCGCCTCGAGGGGAGGAGGGCGAGGAGGCACTGCCTCCACGTGCTTCGAGAGGCCGAGCGCCGCGCCGCGCGATGCGCAGAGCCCCGGCACCGCTGCGCCCTCGCGCCGCGGTGGCGGAGAGAGCCAGCGCATTCCAGACCAGGCCGCGACGTTCCTCGTCATCTCCTCCTCCTCCTCCTCCTCCTCCTCCTCCTCCTCCTCCTCCTCTTCCTCCTGCTCCTCCTCCTCCTCCTCCTCCTCCAGCTGCTCCTCCACCTGCTCCTCCTCCTGCTCCTGCTGCTCCTCCACCTGCTGCTCCTCCTGCTCCTGTTCCTGCTCCTGCTCCTCCGCTCCTCGTCCTCCTCCTCCTCAGCCTCCTGCTCCTCTGCTCCTCTGCTGCTCCTCTTCTTCTTTTTCCCCACATCCGAAGTGGGGTTCTTGTTTTCTCTGCACACCCTCCGCGCAGGATCTCTCCTCCTCCCCCTCCTCCTCCCTCTCCTCTGCTCCTCTTTGCTTCCTCCTCCGCATCATCATCGCCATCACCATCACTCCCCACTCATCATCATCATCATCATCATCATCATCATCAGCATCATCATCATCATCATGATGATCATCATCATCATCATCATCATCATCATCATCATTATCATCATCATCATCATCACCATCATCATCATCATCACCATCAGCATCACCATCACCATCCCACGATCACTCACCATCATCGGCATCGAACGATCATCATCATCATCATCATCATCATCACTACTCGCTGACTTGAGGCCTGAATATGGAGGAAGTCTCGAGCGGGAGCCTCGTCTGTGAGTGAATTGCGAGGAAGTCTCAGGCGGGAGCCCCCTCCGTATGGGGCCCGCACTTCATGTTTGAATCCGAGCGGGTCATCCGCAACGTGCAACTGTCGTCACGTTTGGGTTCTTGAGACTTGAATATGGAGGAAGTCTCGAGCGGGAGCCTCGTCTGTGAGTGAATTGTGAAGAAGTCTCAGGCGGGAGCCCCCTCCCTATGGGGCCCGCACTTCATGTTTGAATCCGAGCGGGTCATCCGCAACGCGCAACTGTCGTCACTTTTGGGCTCTTGAGATAATTATGAATATGGAGGAAGTCTCGAGCGGGAGCCTCGTCTGTGAGTGAATTGCGAGGAAGTCTCAGGCGGGAGCCCCCTCCCTATGGGGCCCGCACTTCATGTTTGAACCCGAGCGGGTCATCCGCAACGTGCAACTGTCGTCACTTTTGGGCTCTTGAGACTTGAATATGGAGGAAGTCTCGAGCGGGAGCCTCGTCTGTGAGTGAATTGTGAGGAAGTCTCAGGCGGGAGCCCCCTCCCTATGGGGCCCGCACTTCATGTTTGAATCCGAGCGGGTCATCCGCAACGTGCAACTGTCGTCACTTTTGGGCTCTTGAGATATGAATATGGAGGAAGTCTCGAGCGGGAGCCTCGTCTGTGAGTGAATTGCGAGGAAGTCTCAGGCGGGAGCCCCCTCCCTATGGGGCCCGCACTTCATGTTTGAATCCGAGCGGGTCATCCGCAACGTGCAACTGTCGTCACTTTTGGGCTCTTGAGATTTGAATATGGCGGAAGTCTCGAGCGGGAGCCTCGTCTGTGAGTGAATTGTGAGAAGTCTCAGGCGGGAGCCCCCTCCCTATGGGGCCCGCACTTCATGTTTGAATCCGAACGGGTCATCCGCAACGTGCAACTGTCGTCATTTTTGGGCTCTTGAGACTTGAATATGGATGAAGTCTCGAGCGGGAGCCTCGTCTGTGAGTGAAGTGCGAGGAAGTCTCAGGCGGGAGCCCCCTCCCTATGGGGCCCGCACTGCATGTTTGAATCCGAGCGGGTCATCCGCAACGTGCAACTGTCGTCACTTTTGGGCTCTTGAGACTTGAATATGGAGGAAGTCTCGAGCGGGAGCCTCGTCTGTGAGTGAATTGCGAAGAAGTCTCAGGCGGGAGCCCCCTTTCTATGGGGCCCGCACTTCATGTTTGAATCCGAGCGGGTCATCCGCAACGTGAAACTGTCGTCACTTTTGGGCTCTTGAGGCCTGAGTATGGAGGAAGTATCAGGCGGGAGCCTCGTTTGTTAGTGAATTGTGAGGAAGTCTCAGGCGGGAGCCCAGTCCCTATGGGGCCCGCACTTCATGTTCGAATCCGAGCGGGTATCCGCATCGTGCAACTGTCGTCACTTTTGGGCTCTTGAGACTTGAATATGGAGGAAGTCTCGAGCGGGAGCCTCGTCTGTGAGTGAATTGCGAAGAAGTCTCAGGCGGGAGCCCCCTCCCTATGGGGCCCGCACTTCATGTTTGAACCCGAGCGGGTCATCCGCAACGTGCAACTGTCGTCACTTTTGGGCTCTTGAGACTTGAATATGGAGGAAGTCTCGAGCGGGAGCCTCGTCTGTGAGTGAATTGCGAGGAAGTCTCAGGCGGAAGCCCCCTCCCTATGGGGCCCGCACTTCATGTTTGAATCCGAGCGGGTCATCCGCAACGTGCAACTGTCGTCACTTTTGGGCTCTTGAGATATGAATATGGAGGAAGTCTCGAGCGGGAGCCTCGTCTGTGAGTGCATTGTGAGGAAGTCTCAGGCGGGAGCGCCAGGAGGAAGAGGAAAGGGCAAAGGGTAAGCTAAACAGATTCTCATGTGGGGTCCTACCGTCGGAGTAATTTTTCCTCCTCCTCCTCCTCATCATCATCGTCCTCCTCCTCCTCTCACTCCTCCTCCTCCTCCTCCTCCTCCTCCTCCTCCTCTTCCTCCTGCTCGTCCTCCTCCTCCTCCTCCTCCTCCTCCTCCTTGTCGTCCTCCTCCTCATCGATATCCTCGAGGCCGCGACGTACGAAGTGGCCCCTTCGGGTCATGTATTTCTTGCTCTTCTCGGCCTCCAGGGGCCCTCGCTAGGCCCCGGCACCGACAAGAAACTTTTCGGGATGAAAAGCCGGCCTTGGAGAGAGGGTCGGTGGCTCCGAGGAGGGCCCGTGTTGAAGAACTCGACCCACTGGATGTCTGGGGGCAAGACAGGGGGGCGGGGGGGGGCGTGGGGACTGTTGGGCAGGAAAAGGGAATTTTCGCGCCCCACTCGGGTGACACGCAAGGGCTACCGAATTTGCTGTCAGCCTGCTCGTCTCACTCGGCCTGCCCAGGCGCGCTGGCGCGCCTCCGTGCGCCGGTCAAGGACCCGGCCCGCTGCGGCCCGTCCACAAACCGCTCTCTGTCCCAGTCCACTGGCCAGGGAGCTCTCCGATGAGCACTGGACGGGCCTTCCGGAGAAGCCACGCAAAGCTTGGCAGGGCGCGCGTGCGCAAAAAGTGGGCGTCGGGATGCGCCCGTGGGGGCCGTCAAGCAGAGGGCAATGGCAGTGCAGCAGACACGTCTTTGGACGGCCTGGGTGGGCTTTCGGTCCATGTCGGGGCGGCCTTGGGCAGTCGTTGACCCCTGTCGGGGCCTCCGTGGTAGCCAGCAAGAGTGATGTTAGGCTGGGAGCGTTTCGGAAAAAGCGGCTGCAAGTGCGCGTGCCCGAACAATTGGCCCCCTCTTGGTGTGCCCTCGAGGCTCCCTTGAAACATTGTTCGGGCCTCCTTGGAGCCCTCGCTATCTTGGGGCCGTCTGGGAAGCAAATCGGGGCCTTCTTGGTTGACCTTGGGGGCTGCTTGCAGCCGTTTGACACCCGAAACCCGCTTTACTCTGGTCTTGCGCTAGAAAATGAAGAGTGCAAACAAATACAGAACCCAACATGCTTTAACTGTGTTCACTTAACTTCACGACCTGGGGGTCTCGCGGGGCGGTATGGAGGTCGTATGTGGGCCTCGTGGGACCCTCTTGAAGCCACGGTCACACTGTTACAAATAGCAGGGTCAAGATAAGAATATGCATGCAACGTCTCACTGAGCAGCAACACGGCCCGCTGCCACTGATCACCCTGAGGGCACGATTGACTCCGGGTAACGCACGGCAAGCTCGTGTCGTGACGACGTCGGCCTTGCTTTCTGACACCGCGTGGATCATTCATTCAGCCTTGAACGATCGCGGCTTCCCGATAGCGCGGATCGTTCGATATCGGCCGATTATGGACCGCAGGCGGCGTTCAACCTTGAACGCCCGCGCTGGGGTCGCTGCCGCGTCGACAAGACACACATCTACTGTAGATCTGATCCCGTCGAGATCTAACATCACCGCCCACATGTCGCAGGCCACAGACAGGGCACATTTCTAACCTGCTCCCATTTCTTGCGCGTGCGACTCCCAGCGCAGCAATTGATGACGCTAGGCGCAAACTTGACCGCTCTCGTCTCGCTCAACAGTGGCAGAGCCCGCTGCTACTGTTCCCCTTTGTCGCACGCGCCAGCCCCAATGCAGCAACAGGTCACGTCTGGCTCCAGCTTCGTCTCCCACATCGCAATGACCTGCAAGCTGCCATTGCTCGCTTCTCCCGAAAGCCCTGACCCCAGCGCTGAGGGGATTACATTGAGCTACCCAAGCGCTCCACGGCGCTTCAGGCGCTCCCGGCACGCTCCCAGGCGCTCTCGGCACGCTCCCAGGCGCTCCCAAGCGCTCCCAGGCGCTCCCCAAGCGCTCCCAAGCGCTCCGCATCTCGTTCAGCAGCGCAGCGCTAGAGTCTGCGACCATGGCTCGCGTTGTCGCCCGTGCTGATCTCAGCGGTGTAAAGGATGACGTCGGGAATCCAACGTTGCCTGACACATCTCGCTGATCAGCGCAAAATGCCACTGCCACTGATCTCCCGTCTCCGACGCGCTGGTCCCAGCGTTGTAGCTGACAAGGGCGGGCCCATGGAATGGGATCCCACAAGGCTTCCTGTGCGATGAATGGACACAAACAACTATGCCAAGGATGTCCGTCTACGTCACCCCAACGGTTGACCAGCATGATCCCACACGCGCAATGTCGCGTAAGATGCTCGGAAACGCGAAAGGCCGCTCTGAAGCACGCCCGGGAATCCTGCCGAGTCGCCAACTGACCTCTCATACGCTGTGACGACCAAGTCATGCACGTTTACGTCCGGCTTCAGGCTGCCCTCCCACATCTCGCAGAACAGCGAGAGTGCCTGCTGCCACTGGCCGCATCTTTCACACGCGCAGATTCCAGCCGTATAGCTGATGGCATTGGACTCAAACTTTGCCTCCCGCATCTCGCCCAGAAGAGCCACAGCTCGTTGCCACTGCTGGCCCTTCTCGCACGCGCTGATCGCAGCGTTGAAGCTGACTACTGCGCACCCGTAAATGGAACCCACAATCAAAAGCTGTTGCTGACTGCTGCTGCTGCTGCTGCTGCTTGAAGCGTCTGCTTGCTGCTGCAGATTGCTGGTGATTCCGCATCCTGGCCGCGGCTGCCAACTCCGTTGCTGCTGGCTGTGTTGCTGGCTGGCTGCGTTTATCTGGCTGGCCAATTCCTGATGCCCTCTTGGGGACCGCTCGGGGCCGTCTTGGGGATCTCTTCTGCCTGGGCGGTCACCAGCTTGCGTCTTGGTGATCTGGGTCTGGAGACGTCTCGGGGATGGTGCGTCCAAGGCCCAGACGCTGGCACATCCCAAGGCCGTTCCAACTGCATTGCGAACGTGCCCGCTCGAATATGGTGCGCCCCAGTTCCAACCGACAGTGAGCTGGTCCACATGAATTCCGTGCTCGCTCGAGGATGCTGCGTCCCAAGTCCACACTGGTGAATCCCAAGACTTCTACATGTCCAACTCGGAACATATGTTACCCACCTCGCGCCTCATGAGTGCCCAGAAGCTTCCGGCTGACGCCCAATTCGGCGCATCGCTCATGTACTTCGTGCCGTTTGGCGTCCCGCAGGCTCTCAGCTTGCCGCCAAGATTGCTCAAAGCAGTCCCAATTCGGCACGCCCCTGACGCACTTCGTGCCTCATGGCCCGCCCAGGGGGCTCTCATCTTGCCTCTGGGGAAGCCCACTTCTGCACACCCGTCACGCACTCGTGGCCCATTGACCCGTGAGGCCCTCAGACGGCCCTCAAGATCGCTCGAAGGACCTCAACTCGGCACACCGCAGCGTGCCTCGTAGATCCTCCTGTCCTCCAACATGCCCCGAGCTGGCCGCCAAGACGATTCCAAGACGGCCTGAGATCAGCCTCACGCGACCCCGGTACCCCCGAGACAGCCTTTTTGAGCTCTCTTGGGGTCCCTCTTCTGGTGGGAAGCTAAACGGAGATGCTAGTACGATGCGCCCCCCTCGGAGGCGCTCGTCCCAACCGAACATCCAGCACAAACACAGCACAGACATCTTACATTGTGTTTCAACTGCTGTGCCGTGCCGTGCCAACAATTCTACTGTTCCCAACCATCCTATGGTGTTGGGTCCTCGTTTTGATGAGGCAGCGCCCCGCGCCCCATAGGGAGCTCCACCGAAGGCCCCAGTGCCACCGCCCACATGCGTCACCCACTCAAATTTCAGCACACCCCTCAAACGCTTCGTGGCCCCAAAGGAAGCTCCAACGAAGGCCCCAGCGCCACCGCCCGCATGCGTCACCCACATCCATTTCGGCACACCCCTTACACGTTTCGTGGCCCAATATGGTGCTCCACCGAAGGCCCCAATGCCACCGCCCGCATGCGTCACCCACACCCATAACGTCACACACCTAACACGCTTTGTGGCCCCAAAAGGAGCTCCAACGAAGGCCCTGGTACCACCACCCGCATGCGTCACCCACGCCCAGTCCTGCACACCCCTCACGCGTTTTGTGGCCCCATAGGGAGCTTCACCGAAGGCGCCAGTGCCACCACCCGCATGCGTCACCCACACCGATTTCGTCACACCCCTCACACGCTTCGTGCCCTCATAGGGAGCTCCACCGAAGGCCCCAGTGCCACCGCCCGCATGGGTCACCACATTCCGGCACACCCCTCACGCGCTTCGTGGCCCAATAGGGAGCTCCACCGAAGGCGCCAGTGGCTGCGTTCGCGCCCACCGCACTCATTTCGGCACACCCATCACACTTTTCGTGGCCCCATAAAGGAGCTCCACCGACGGCCCCAGTGGCTGCGTTCGCATGAGCCCACCGCACCTATTTCGGCACACATCTCACACGTTTTGTGGCCCCGTAGGGAATTCCACCGGCGGCCCAAGTGGCTGCTTTCGCATGCGCCCACTGGAACAATCACACAAGCCCTGTGGGCGTGAGTGGTTTAGAGAGCTCTCTCTGTCCTCAACCCCCCTTCTTCCCCTTCGGGGAGGGGTTTACCCCTCCCCCTACCCCCTCCCCCTGGACTTGGAGAGGGAGTCCGGCGGGTCGTTGGGGGGGTCCATTTCGACTCCTCGGAGGGCCAAAAAACGACGACCCTCACGAGGATTCTGGCCCCGACGGGGGGACGGAGTTTGGCCCCTCTGCTCTTCTGTGAAGCCAAAAACATTGATTTTACGAGGGTTTTGGCTCCATTTTGGCCTCCTGAGGGGGCCGCGCTCATCTGCCTTCATAGCACAATCATTGATTTTACGAAGGTTTTGGCCTCATTTTGTCCTTCTCAGGGGGCAGCGCTCCTTTGCGCTTCTGAGGAGGTTGCAAGAGGCCCCAAGATGGCCCCAAGAGGCCCCCAGGAGCCTCCCAAGAGGCCTCCAAGAGGCCCCCAAGAGGCCCCCAAGAGGCCCCAAGAGGCCCCCAAGAGGCCCCCAAGAGGCCCCCAAGAGGCCCCCAGAGGCCCCAAGAGGCCCAAGAGGCCCAAGAGGCCAAGAGGCCCCCAAGAGGCCCCCAAGAGGCCCCAAGAGGCCCCACGAGGAGCCCGAACGACTCACACCACGACGAGGGGCCCGAACGACTCACACCACGAAGAGCCCGAACGACTCGACACCACAAGGAGGGGCCCGAACGACTCACACCAGGACGAGGCGCCCGAACGACTCACACCACGAGGAGCCCGAACGACTCACACCACGACGCGGGCCCCGAACGACTCACACCACGAGGAGCCCGAACGAGTCACACCAGGAGGAGGGGCCCGAACGACTCACACCAGGATGAGGGGCCCGAACAACTCACACCACGAGAAGCCCGAACGACTCACACCAGGACGAAGAGCCCGAACGACTCACACCACGAAGAGCCCGAACGACTCACACCAGGAAGAAGGGCCCGAACGACTCACACCAGGACGAGAAACCCCAAACGACTCAAACCACGAGGAGCGCTTTCTCTCCCTCCTCCTCCGCCTCGTCCTTCTCCCGCTCCCCCCACAAGGAGGATGTACAAGGAGGCGGGAGGAAGGAGGAACAGGGGAGATATGCGGGGCCAAGCGGACACACGCCTGAAAAACACAACTGTCGGCATGCTTCGCAAGAGTTGCTGCTGTGAGATGGGCTGGTGGGGATACGCGAAGCGTAAAGAATTTCGTCACCCCTCACACGTATCGTGGCCCTATACAGAGCTTATCCGAATGCGGTGCATACAACGACGGTGCTCACAACTGCATATGGCTGGGTCCTTCGCCAGGCTGATTCCTAATGTTGAAAACTGCTTAACTGTAGTTGTTCAAATTCATTCTCATTTTGAGAATCAAGAGAAGGTCGGGAAGGGAGCGCGGATACCGAAAACCTTTGAAGTTGTTTTCTTAAGGGTCCAATGCGGGTCAGTCGTATTGATGTGCTTTGATTCGGGATCTCACCAAGATGGCTGTCCCAAGACGCTTTCTTATAGTTGTGAGCTTTCCTGGTGATTGCAACTGTGAGGGAATAAGGGTTAGATCGGTAAGGAAGCGCGGACGCCGAGAACCGTTAATGTTTGAAGTTCTTCGGGGCCTCACAAGGATTATGCATAATGTGTTGGTTTTGTTACAAGCTGTTTAAGGGTGTCACAGGGGTGGCGGTGTCAAGACGTTGTCTTAATGCTTATCAGGGGACGCTCTTGCTCTGATTGATTGTTCAAAATTATCCCGGCAAAGCAACCTAACAGCAATGTGTAGGAGCATATCTGGAAGTATCACCCTTAAGATTCAGATGAAAATCCAGTTGTAGAGTTCTCCTGTTCTCGCAGTCGTAGTCGCATTCGCGATGACAGTCGCAGTGGCCTGCATTAGCCTCAGCCTCAGCCTCAGCCTGCCTCAGCATCAGCCTCAGCCTCAGCTTCAGCCTGCCTCAGCCTCAGCCTCAGCCTGCTCCTGCATCAGCCTCAGTCTGCCTGCAGCCTCGGCCTCAGCCTCAGCCTGCCTCAGCCTGAGCCCTCAGCCTCAGCCTCAGCCTGCCTCAGCCTCAGCCTCAGCCTCAGCCTCAGCCTCAGCCAGCCTCAGCCTCAGCCTGCTTCAGCCTCAGCCTCAGTCTGCCTTCAGCCTCGGCCTCGGCCTCCTCAGCCTCAGCCTGCATCAGCCTCAGCCTCAGCCTCAGCCTGCCTCAGCCTCAGCCTCAGCCTGCCTCAGCCTCAGCCTCAGCCTGCTTCAGCCTCAGCCTCAGTCTGCCTTCAGCCTCGGCCTCAGCCTCAGCCTGCCTCAGCCTCAGCCTGCATCAGCCTCAGCCTCAGCCTCAGCCTGCCTCAGCATCAGCCTGCCTCAGCCTCAGCCTCAGCCTGCCTCAGCCTCAGCCTCAGCCTGCTTCAGCCTCAGCCTCAGTCTGCCTTCAGCCTCGGCCTCAGCCTCAGCCTGCATCAGCCTCAGCCTCAGCCTCAGCCTGCCTCAGCCTCAGCCTCAGCCTCAGCCTCAGCCTCAGCCTGCTTCAGCCTCAGCCTCAGTCTGCCTTCAGCCTCGGCCTCAGCCTCAGCCTCAGCCTGCATCAGCCTCAGCCTCAGCCTCAGCCTGCCTCAGCATCAGCCTGCCTCAGCCTCAGCCTCAGCCTGCCTCAGCCTCAGCCTCAGCCTGCTTCAGCCTCAGCATCAGTCTGCCTTCAGCCTCGGCCTCGGCCTCAGTCTCAGCCTCAGCCTCAGCCTGCTTCAGCCTCAGCCTCAGCCTCAGCCTGGCTCAGCATCAGCCTGCCTCAGCCTCAGCCTCAGCCTGCCTCAGCCTCAGCCTCAGCCTGCTTCAGCCTCAGCCTCAGTCTGCCTTCAGCCTCGGCCTCAGCCTCAGGCTGCCTCAGCCTCGGCCTGCATCAGCCTCAGCCTCAGCCTCAGCCTGCCTCAGCATCAGCCTGCCTCAGCCGCAGCCTCAGCCTGCCTCTGCCTCAGCCTCAGCCTCAATCTGCCTTCAGCCTCGGCTTCAGTCTCAGCCTGCCTCTGCCTCAGCCTGCATCAGCCTCAGCCTCAGCCTGCCTCAGCCTCAGCCTGCCTCAG